ATGCACACACACACACACACACACTAGTGTCATTGTTAATGGGTGTGGTTATTTTATTTTTAGTTCTGGCAGTGTATAAAGAAACCTGAAGCAATAGACCAATGGCCTGTGGGTAGATGGTTACATGCAGGTGCTATTATTATAACTGGATCAGACTGTCCTATGCTAGTGATAAGTGGTGGGTTGGATAAGAATGATGATACATTAGATGATTGTTGGATCTTTAACATCACTCAACATTCCTGGATAAAGGTATGTTAGATATTATTAATAATTGATCTGTACAGTGAGATACATGTAAATTATTAATTTATTTCTATTAACAGTTAGCTGTACCTCACTCTGTTAGTAAGAGATCTAATCATTCTCTCTCAGTGTTCATTATGAGTCCTCATTGTGTCTGGATGATAACTGCTGGAGGAGGTGTTGATAAAATGCGGATATTAGTCACTAATCCTAACATTGTTATGATAACTGAACTAGGTCAGTGTATTAGCCACACCCACCAATGAATACTACTAGAACTAATGTAGAACATTAAGGGGCGAGCCTGAGCTGCATTTTGCGCATTAAATTTTAGTACTGAGCAAAAATTAATGGTTTTGTAGTAAATTTTACCAAAAATTGGAAAAATTCATGGGTCCATGTTATTTCCACTGGTATGTGCTTATCATTAACACACTTACTGCACTCACTGACTCCATTAGGTAGACGAGATACTGAAAGAGTAGGGAAATTTTCAAAACAAGCATTACACTTGAAAGACTTGATACAGGATAAGGTCTCGTGATATTTCAGCATCCCATCATACGGAGATATCTGCTGTTCTGCTATAAACGGGGCCAGTTCACACTTCATGCAGTTCTTCCTCAGGGGGCATGGCCTCACTCTCTCTTCTTAATCGATACCTAGCCCTGTCTCCTGCCAGGCGTAGTTCTCTCTCAGGAGTTGTCTCGCGCTGCCTTCTTGATCGAGACCTACTCCTGTCCACAATTAGACGTTGTCTCTGTAGCTGTTGCTCCCTTTCCTTACGAGCCTCTCGACAAGCCCCACCCTTGACTCTCCTTTTAGCTAGTCAAGCTTCTCTCTGTTGAGGCGTCTCGTTCCTCCTTCGCTCTCTGTCACGTTCATTGCGAAGTAACAACAAGAAGTAACAACAATTATGAATAAGACAATGGTTTTCTTCTTAAGAGTATTCTGACTATTCTCGCTTTTTAGTTTTTACTACTAACACATGTTACAATAAACCGTATATGATGGAAAAAAACAATAAAAGCAATTATTCTTTAAAGTACCGCATTATTTTGAATGCGCTAATAAATAGGGGTGACGTATGAGGACAGACAGACAGAAGGGGTGTGACTGAAAGTACTGCTAGAGTGGGGCGAACTCAGGCTCGCCCCAATTAATTATCTAATTATAATTATTTCCTTTGATGTACTTAATGTTGCATTGGATCCACACCCTCTAATTAAAATTATTATTATTAAAATTATTATTAATATTGTATTTTAGTTACTAACAGTAAAGGAGAGTGGACAGTAGGTGATACATTAGATACCAATGGTATGAATAATGAAGAATACAAGAAGAAGTATCAGCAACAACTACAGACAGTAAGAAGAATATGGTTGGAGGAGTACCAGCAACCAAGAAAAGGAGATACAGCCAATATTGAGCAAACCGTACAAGCTCTTATGAAGAGTCTTGAAGAGAAGGAGAGAGAAACACAAGTTTATCATCAACTATTGGAGCAGAAGGAAAGAGAAGAAGCAGAGAAAGGGCAAGAAATAAGAAGATGTCGTCATCAGCTACAGGAGAAGGATAGGGAGCATCAG